GTTTAAATCCAACAAAAACTTACGATAATGGGAGTGGCGGCGAGTTTCTTGCCAGTTCTTCTTGTTCGTTCTTCGGCCTCAATTTGGGAACTGATAGTAAATGTCTTAACTGATAGTAACTTACGATACATAAGTTTTTGTTACAAGTTCCTTACGCACTTAATATTTGTAAATTTTTTTCTTTGTTAAATCGGATTCCTCCAAACCCCAACCATTGTTATCATTTAAATACTGATTTACGTTAAAATACCCTTTTCATGCAGTTTTTGTTTAACATACCTACGATTTAAACTTATTTATTCACAGTGTTTTCAGTTGTCAATACTTCACTAAGGAGTTTATTAAGGTACCGTATGCAATACCTTGAAAATAATTACCGGTTGTTATGGAGCTTTTTAATAATTTTGTAATTTTACTTTTATTTACTTTACACGTTTTAAGTAAGTCTCATCGTTTCAAAGTAGACAATTCACTTTTTTCGTTGCGTGCCTGCACACTTATAGCTGGAATTCCGATGAATATAATAAATAATCGTCAGCGTAGTTTACCAAATATAATACGATGAAAGAAAACTATATTGGTAAGACAGAGCTGGTCTCTTAAGTAATAGCAGTTATCTCATTACTATGATACTTCCAATCACATAGCCTACTTCTGAAGATTTACTTCGTTAGGATATTTAAGATGCGACTCAAAAGCACTTATTCAAAACAGACTTTTTTTCTTTACTGGGATTCCTCGCAGGTTTTGCACGAATCTTTTTGTATATTTCGATTATGTAAAGTTCATGTTTTTCTTATTTGCAAAAGCTATTCAATAAACGTCGGAAATAATTCAAGGTCGATTCGTCGATAGCGCAACTATTACATTAACATCGTGATGAAATCAAATAGTTATGATCGTCTATGATGAATCGATTACGAAGTTACGATGCGATAGTTCGAGTTGTTAAAGTACAATTTACGACACACACACAAAAAATAATATACAAAAATACAATGATATAAATAGAACTAATAACAGATGTATATATATGGAGGGACACCTCCCTATACATATAGCTTTCGCGTTACACATGTGTGTGTGTGTGTGTGTAACGCGAAAACTATAGCCACACCGACACTTACAATGTTTTAACCTTTGTTTTCGAATCTTAACAAGGCTATTAATGTCTATTTATGAGATGTATGTCAAACATCACAAAATATGTGTAAAACTACTAATAGGTGAAAGTGGGTTTTGCGTCTTCAGCACTCAGGTAATGAAGGTAAATTAGTGTTAATTTTCTAGTTATTAATAGCAGTCGGAAAATATTACAGTCTAGCGATTGGTAGTCATTATATTTGTGCGAGTGTGTTTGTAATTCCAATTACTGTAGCTTAATTAGGTTTATACATCGGTCGGTACAACTTTTTTACATCGTAATAAAATTATCATCTTTTAAAAACTAAGTTGACTTGTTGTGTCTAAAAAAATCTATACTAATATTATTATATAGCTGAACATTTTTTTAGATGTTTGTTTGTTAGAACGCGCTAATCTCAGGAACTACGGATTCGTTTTGAAATATTCTTTTTTGTTGGCTAGAGCATTTATCGAGCAAAACAACGCGCTGTAACTAATAGAAGCGAAAATACAGCGGGAAATGTGAACGAAACGGTGGGAATTTTTCATCCCTTTGGGTTTCAGATGCGTAACTACGCTGCGACTACGGATCAAGAAACCAAAAAAATATGTATGTAAGAATGATTTCTCTTTAAATGATCTGATAAAATGTCCGCGGCTCAATAGGTATTTCTATCATTTAAGATTTATTTGCAAGAACGACGGGACGCGACCGATGTCGATTGAAAAAAATAATTTAGTTGCCCAAAACAACTATACTATGCGGACGAAATTGCTGACACAGCTTGTTAGGTATAGGCTGTGGGGATGCGGAGCCGGAGCCACTTGTCCCGTTTTTAACTCTCGATCGAACTTCGTTGGCTAAAAAATAAATAAAGTTAAATATAATGTTGATTTGTTTTTGCGGTACGCACAAACAAATTCATATCTATGAATTCACATTGTTAAGCCAGAATTATATAATAACATACGGATTTACATAGAATACATAGGTACTAGAAATAACAACTATTGTATCTTTTCATTTAAAAAGGCACGTACCCGTTAACAATGAATTAATTTATACTTCTGAGTAATTAGCGATATTTTATCTAATTTAAACGGTTCTAGTTAAAAGTTTTTACTGAACATGAAGCCAACATATCTCGAACAGAATAATTAAGTTCATGCACATTTTATTACCTCCATTAATATGTATTGCACATACCACTCGCATAATTTGAAACAATTAAAATTTTACGATCTCTATCTGTACTTTTATAAAGGTCGCATGATAATGAAATTAATTTACGAGTGTTGTACATTGGTAGTACGCGTTTAAAGGGAAAATCGTTATTTCAAGATTTAATTAGGACATGAGGTAAAATTATATTTCACCCTTATTAGTATTAACATTAAAGGAACTTTTTTTTATTACAACCTCAACCTAAGACTCATCAAACACTCTCACATACTCGACTCGAACAGCTCATAGTAATTACCAGCTCTATTTACCCTTAAATCCCTGTGTCCGGGGAGATTAAGCTTTTATTATCTCGTCCAACGCGTCACGCTAATGTGACATAATCCGCGCGGCCGCAATCTGTCAAGTGGGCTGTCACGAGCTGTCAGCTGTCACTGTCACTGCGACGACCGGCGCGCGTTAATGCGGGAGTAGATTATACAGTCACAATACTTGATGTTTGTTTGATTACGTGTTGTAATAACACATCACGGTGGGCGAGTATTGAATAAGAAAAGCTTCATAAATAGTTACTATTCAATTAAATTTATTATTTGCTTAATTTTGTCGCCAAATTTTCGTTTAATAACAAAACATGTAATAAAAAATAAAAAAGTTAGATGTAAATGTATTATATGATACATTTTCTTGAATAGGCACTAACCGAATACCTACATAGGTATAGGTATAACAAAATAGAGTGTTCCAGCAACACAATTCTACATGATAAAAATATATATACATATCTTAATTTTAATATTATTTTTAATTTGGTGTTTAGGTACACTAGTCCCCAAGTAAGAATTCCATGTCGTTACATTGAAATACCTCACTAGTTTTAAAAAGTTTTTCAATATTAAAATAAAGTAAATATAGGTGTAAGATGCTACCTGCGTACCTGGCTACATGATAAGAAAAACGAACAACACTGTATTTCATAATTCTACGTGCAAAGCAAAAAAAAAAACAATCTCCAAGTAATTAGTAATTTCATAATGTAAATCCTGCGCAAAAAACCGTTACCGCGATGGAGGCAGCCGTGCGTCATAATTTTGACAGTTCGCTTGACAGGTGAGCAGACAGGCGCGGTGCCACGCCATGACGCCCGGATTATCCGTTGATGGATTAATTTGTACGTCTGGTGGCACTTAAAAGAAAAATAACAGCTCTGTGAAATTATTGACTTTTACCTAGACTGAGAATTTTACAGTTAAAAAAACACAGAGTATTGTCACCAACGAAGTCATTTTCGCCTTAGTCGGATGAATTTTCAATTTTAATTATTATTATTGTCCTTGGCCTCTTTTACCAAACCAACGAAATTGAATTATTGCAAAGTAATTCCACTAACAAGTATTTTCAACAGGCGTGTCACGACCTAAGCAACCGTTTACTGTTTTATGCCGGGTTTTTACTGCGTATAAAATTATGATTAAATGATATTTGTTTAGCCTTAGTCATTCTTAAGTCATTATGGGCTAATTAATTTTTATAATGTCAATATAAAATAAATATAATTTCAGATTTATACCTACTTGCAGTTAATACTGAACTGCATATTTATGAAAATACAATTTTAATACTATTTAAGTGATACGAATTATCTTTATTTCGTACTGAATGTTGAGTTTTTAATGTAAAAATACGAGTCAATTTAAATTTTATCGCGGAATTAACTATCGCATTAAATTATATCAAGCTTATACTCGACTGAACTTCAAGTTGAATTAAATTAGTGTTTATATCGAAACTACTGAAGGTCAAAGAACGTTGTTGTTTTTAACTTAATTTTTTTGAATTTTAGTTGACTATTACGAATCCAAATGTTGTTAACGGTCTTAAAAATACAATAATTATTTAAGTACCACGAAAGTATCGAGTGGGTTTTCAAGAACACATATTTTCGACTTACGGTTTCATTTATTGGGAAGTTAGTTTGATAGTAGGTAACGGTATTCAAACCTGCGTCGTCGGTGTTTCGTGAATGGATTTTGTTAGGTTATAAAAAATAAAGCGTATGACGCACAGAGGCCTTTTAACATACAATTACTTCGTCTTATCTTACTCAAAGAACAAAATAATAAAATGTTAACGCCTAATGAGAAAAGTCGAGAGCATACAACGTTTCAATACATTGTAACGTTCAGTCACGTACGTCGAAGTGACTGTCAGTTAAGTAACCGCTCACAAAAATAAGTAATTATTTACCTCAAGAGTAATGATTTCTCTTTGTTTGACTTAAGTAATGGCTCGCTTACACGACTGCGGACTGCACATTCGTTTCAATATTTATGAGTCATTGCAGCGAAGCTATTAACTTCTAGAATTGTAATACAACAATGTTATTAATGTATGTGGGTGGTTATTATAATTTAGCCTTTTTACGGCCACGGGCATTTGCTCGCGTTTATAAACGAGAAAATGTTTTATTTTGTAGCAAATAGACCTAATTCCTGTAAATTAACTCTAATAGGTTAGTTTTTAAATGGTCTTACGTAGCATGCAAATATTCACGCATTCCTTTTAACGTTATTATGGATCTCACACATGGATAACACGCCGTCCAATACATGACTTAATTGCCTTCATCGTACCACCACTTCTCCATAGTTTCTCGTCCTGAAAGATGGAGCCGAAAAATACCAGTCTATCATCAGTTGGCCTCCATACGCCGTTGCATGAAGCTCACGCCAGCCACATGAGTGATGGCGTGCGGAGCCGACGTTAGCACCTGATTTATTGCTTCCGACTGCTCCTCACCCCACACGCCCCGGGCCTAAGTAAGGTCAGCAGATACACTGCTATCATTGCTGTAACTGGCACTATTCACAATTTCGTGATTCTATTCAATTCTATACAATTATTCTTCACAATTAAAATTTTTCGCGAAATTTGATAGAAGATTCGGTAAAGTTTTGTTTAGAACATTTACTTTAAAGAAAAGCCGCAGAAGGTACAGCTCTTCTTATATTCTTACGAATCTAAGTATTAAGACAGTTTTGCTTTTATTAACCTTTCAGCGTAATCAAGTTCTTCATCATTATCAAAAAAAAATTCGACCGTTTTTGGCATGTATACCTAATAATGTTTACATAAGAGGTAATGATATTTATAGTTGATAATTATATTTCGCTCAAAACGAAAATTGCCTATTATGCAGTCCGTCCGTCGTGTGAAGGATAGTTGAGTGGGACATTATTTCGCGTCAGCTCAGGTGTATCGTTGACAGGTGCTGTATTACACTGTAGCACATACAGAATGATCACTTGATACTGGCGCACGTTGGTTCCTTTGAAAATTTTCTCAATGCTACAAAATAACATAAAAACCGTGAAATATTTTCCTTCGTTTAAAGCGATAAAGTAAATAAAAGACACGAAGAAGAGAATGGGTAATGTGACGAAGTGCCGAACGAAATCCAAAGTCGAATACACAAAAAAGCCAACCCGATAATCCCTGAGCGGTAAAACAGTGTCAGAGCCATAATAATTTAGGAAACAGTCTATTAAGTGGATCTTTATGATAATGGCCTAACAGAAGTCGCGTCGCACTGCCCTGTTTTGATACATTATCATATTTAAACAATTCCGATGATAATAGACACATCGTGAAACCCTTTGCCGATATAAATGGAGGTATTATTATTTATTTATGGGTTTCCTTCCTCGGGCCCGGGGGCGAAGTGGAATATTTCATTGAGCGAAAAAACGGTCCGCAGTCGTGAGTTTATATCGAGTGAGATCCGGTTTGAGCACCTGAAATGGTCTGGTATAAGCTTGTTGCAGCAATAATAAAGATTTATGCGACATTCGGCGGTAGCGTGTTTTGTTCTCTGTAACGATTCGTTTCTGTAAGATCAATAGCGCTCTTTATTGTTCGTCGTGAGTTATCGTCGTGGCTATTTCGAGTATTGCCTATAAACCGTATCTTATTACGAGCCGTACGTCGGCTTCGATCGCTATTAAAACATCACTAGATGGTTTTCCCGAAGCGTTTCACCACGTTCACCGTCGTTAATCACAAATGAAATAGCGAACGGTTTGACGCATCGATTGTTCGCGTCGGCCGTCAGAATGTGTTCTCACTCCCATCGCCCCATCGCTGCGAATATTGTAGTTTTTCATGTAATCTCATTATTACGTTCCGAGTTGTGGCACGGTGATTAAGTGCTTGATTTATAGCATGTACAATTTGCATCAGAACCGACGCCATGGCTTTTTGCTCGAAGCCGATGATTATCGTCCGTATCGTGTCGGTTTTAATGATAGTTATTTCATGACTCGCCGCTCGCTATCGGGGACGTTTCATTAAACTCTTTTACATACATTACTTCGGCGAATGTGTCCGATTATGTTAATACGGGCCTTACGAGGCGCTCGTCGTGTCTTCTACGTCCCTTAATGGATTGCTCGCTAACGTAGGTATGTAAACATCATATGTTTTATGCCTATCGTGCTACGTGCAATTTGTCAATATTCGCTAAAGTCTCGCATCTCTGATCGCCGTCGTCGTCCTCGAAATAGCGTATTGGCGAGCGATATCGTGAAGTTATTGCGTTAGTCGACAGCGTCGTGAAACATGTGTCGGTCTGTTTGCACGTCGGCTGTGTGCGTGCGAATAGATAATATCGTACATAAAACTAAACGGCGCGCCAGTGAATTTATGAATCGGCCGGAGAGCTGCCTTCCTCACAAAACTTGTTTATTACCGCCGCGTTAGGGTTGCTAATATATTATCGTTTTATTGCTACTCTATGAACATCATAATTTTCTTTCTTTATGCGAAGACTGAGCTTTAATAGCCCCGTATTTCGAGTCTGGACGGTATCCCGTCGAGCGTGCGGTTAATTTAATCGATATTATCGTCGATCCGGAAGGTCATAGATATTAGTGTTGCGACCGAGATTCGTTCCGACTAATGGATTAATTCGATTGCGAAACCATTCCGTTTGTTATAATCTGCTTCATTAGATGCGAGTCTATCGATTATGAAGAATGATTCACGTTTCTGCGCGGGTTGTAATCCATCAAATGTAAACAATATTAATGATGGCCGCCGCGAGTTGTGTTCAGAATCAATCATCCGGCCTCCACACTCGTTCGGATTGTAATACAAAGTTTGATGGTAATGCATTTGCTGTCGAATGATTAATTATTGTCTCAGATATAATAACGATGTCAATTAGGGTTCCGTTATTTTGCTTTTTGTTATATAAGCATATTATATTTAAAATACTTCAGTACTGTTTGTTTGTTTGTTACACGTGTAAAAAATACACACATGAATATACGCGTTTATGTAGTTTCCGTCGATACTTTTAAAAGCCGACAACGACTGCATACTTTATAGCTTTGTTCAATAAATAATTATTTATACAGTGCAGCATATCGTACCTACTTCGGTTATAGCGTCTTCTAATTTAGCTTTATTCGCTGCGTCTTCCTCATCGTGTGCTGCGTTCATCATGATGTATTTGATGAATCGATATCCTTCCGTGTTATCATTGATTACCTCTAAATTAATCAAATACTCTAATCTTATATTCTGACACTGACGAATGATGTTGAGTAGTCTTAATGATTTTCGAGAACTAGCCATAACCATAAATCAAATATTTCTTTGCGTGTCGTTTGAACTAAACTTTAAAGTTCACATGTTAATTTACGAGTATTGTATAATTATATTCTCAAACTTGTTTAGTAACGAAATACGAATCCAAAAATTAATTTAACAAACGCGTGAAATGCAGCCCTACTAGTCCGGAGCATTAATACAACTTGAAATATGACCCACTAAAGACTATATAACGTAAAATTTACAATTCATAAAACATAATGATATACGCGGTGGTAGATTGCGGCTTTCTGACGTTTATTGCCAACCCTTTGTTACTCGCGCGCCCTGAGAATTGGCATGCCTTCAATAATGAATGGCTAATTGAATCTTTAATATACTTCCCGTGGATTGCTGTACTGACTGTATAAGTAACCAATTAACAAATCCTTGCAACTACATATCTTCCTTTCAAAATATCAACTTATTAGTATAAAACTCTCAAAGTACAACTCCTCTATTCTCATTAAAAAAGATAAGTGATACGCAAGATAAGAGCATATTGTATTATCAAACAAACTGTATTTAAAATAAATATAAACAATGTGCATATTCTCATAAATTAAATCGACAATACACGCTCATTTTTATCAAGATCACGTAAATAATCGAGCCCTTTGTATTCCGAGTTACGAGCATTGCCAAGGAAAAACGTTTTAACACGATAACAATAAAAACGGAATGCAATCTCTGCTGTGTGCATTCAGCGGGCTACTGCTGTTGTTCTTTTGTATGTTCACGGTTTTATATTCATAACTGTTTGAAATAACCAAACAACGCGTATAAAATCAGGGCCGTGTCGGTCTAGTCTAGACCGAATATATGAAATCTTAATTATAAAGAAAGAATTTGTAGTGCAAAATAAAGAAGCTTTCCGAAATTAAAGCGATCACACCATAAAGTGTACGTCGCTATATTTGTGTCGCGAATTACACCATTTGCAAACAATTAATTAGAAACTCAAACGAAACCGGGCGGTGTTACGGCAAATGAAATTGTAACATGTATATATAATTTATGCGCGGTAATGGGAACAGTCGTGCCTCAAGCTGGTCTACTATCGCCAACTTGGCTCTTATCTCTTTTCCGAGTTAATTGCGATCGTGTTAACTCGCATGTTCGCGATAGTGCGACTCGTTTAATAAGTCATTCAAAGAGAGATTAGAGAATTCTTTCTCATCCAATATTTGCGCGTTGCAGTTTGTTCACGTTTTATCTAGTTATGTAAATACGATATGTTTTGAGTGAACGACGGACGGGGGCCATATATCCCATAAACAATCGCTAAAGTTTGCGTGTGCCCCAATGCCCCAGGGTCATTTAAGGTAACAGCAATATTGGAATGACAAACGGTAATACAAAGTCATCTCGGCTACAAAAGTGGGTAGTAAAATGGTTTTCAATGATTGATGCAATGCATTAGATCCAAATAGGAAACACGATGACTAGCGTATTTCAGGTCGAGTCACCGCACCGAAATCTATCAGTATTACTTGTATTTAAATACAAAGCAATATAAATAACGAGTCTACTGTTCCAATATCGATAAAAACCCTAACAATAAACCTATAAATATAGTCTCTCATTTTGAACCATTGTTGTTCTACACGCGCCATAACTTATTATTCAGTGGCCTCTTTTAATTTGCCTTGATTTTGCTAGAACGATGCTTTGTTGTTTATTAAAATGTAAAAATATAAAAGATAGTATAAGAAAGATCTGATTTAAGAATGTTACGTGTATGGCTTTAATAGGTTAAGAAGAAAACATTTATATAAACTTGGATCGCTAGTAAACTGTCGAAATAGTGCCGCATTAACGGGTTAATTATGAATGCTCTAAATGAAACTGAGCACAACGGCACGGTCGGCCCTGAAAGTCCCGCACCTTGATTAAGCTGCCAAAGCCTCGAATTATGCTTCTATCGATCGCCGTAATAAATTCCTAGATGCTCTTATGATTTCCTCGGGGCCAACAATGCGATAGTTTGTCAAATGTAGACGGTTGTTACGCGTGGGCGTCGTACGGGCGTCATCAATCACGACCGCTGACTGTTTAAACCTGCCGCCTTTGTAGGGCTGTCAGCGCGGCCTATAAATAATTTCGGATTTATGAGATCGTACCGAGAATCCCCATGTTCCATAATATAGCTGTGCGTTTTTATTGATATTGTACATTTCAGTGTGTTTTACGTATTTACTGACGAGTTATCGGATACAGAGAGGTGTCAACCTCGTGTTTCGTGGGTTTGAGATTTAAATTAGAAGTATAAAAATGTCCGAAACATAAATTAATACGTTGGAAAGCTATGTATTCAAATAAACAAAATTGAAACATTAACATTTCGCCCAAATGATAAATAGTCAACTGTTGTCTTCCGCAACAATTTATTTTGGTTCGCGAAATCTATAAATAACAATTGTAACTGAAATGATTAGTTATTTATAATTAATGATATTATTGTCGTAATCGTTTATATTACAAAATTGAACTAAAGTATAATTGTCATTTTTGACAGCCCTAATATTAGGGACAACTGCATATAAGTTATAGCAGTTCCGTCTAGAGACAAAATTTGTTAGCGACTGTTCATTAATTACGCGTTACACGAATACAAATACCCGATGACATTTATAAATTATATTCTTAATTTATCACATATTTATGCGTTATTTGACATTCATTTAACAATAAAAGCGTTATTTATACTCTTTGACATTTTTATATCTTCTATTTGGATAACTTTAGTATACAAATAAATTTGAGAGCCTTTTTTCTTGACACTAGTGTAGGTATCTACATTTTAGATAATGATCTATTTTATAACACGCCGAAAAAATATTCATCGAAATATCATCAATGCTCAGCGTGTTATTTCAAAACAGAAATGTTTTTCAAAAACACATTATTATTTTAAATTGCAAAACCGAAACGTTATCTGTAAAACGTTTTAGCTAATATTGCAGATGAGTAATACATTTTTATTGCACTTTTGACATAATTCTTTACATTTATGGACGAATGAACAATTTCGAGAAAACGATATTAGTGGATTCGAGTTTTATTACCCTTATTACGAGGAATCAAAGTGTGGGACGATCTCAAAATATGTAAACAATCCGACTGCGAGATTGGAAAATTTGCAAATGACTCAGTGAACGACAAATTTGAAACCCCAATTTGGTCGACACAAATAAAATATCTATATTCGAAGATCTTATCGCGTCGAGTGGTTATAAAAAACTTTTATTTATTCCGCAGCCGCTTTGTAAGTTGTCAGATGTAATAAATATATTACCGGTAGCAGAGAATATTCTTTTGAGAAGGTAATTATTTAGAACGATCGCTCGGCATTCTGATAAACAATGCGATAACAATACATCTCCGACATCGTTCACGCATTCCCTATCCCCATCCATTACTGTTTCATCTTCAATAACAAGTTTCCCTGTACCGGCTTCTATGTCTTCCGGTGAATGCCCACAGTCGACTCTGACGCCGACGTCTCAAAGTGCAATATCTTCTGGCACGCGATCACCTCAGCGGGAGCGCCAACTCTTTCATCTATCATAATCGTTCATGCTGAAAACAATCAAGATTGATTTAAAGCTCGCGCGAATTTCGACCCTTTGTATGTGTTATCAGGGTTTCAAATCGATCGTCGGCCAGTCTCTTTGTCGGTTGATAGCTAACCACCGTCGGAGGCGACCGTAGGCGGCGGCGTAACGAAGGGACCCACGGAAAATGACAAATGACATCTGCCTACCGCCTGTCAAATAACCGACAGATAATAAATGACCCCGATTGTTTATCATCAAATATCTCATATATCATTATCCTGTACTCAGCGCTTCGGAGGGCGCTTTGACTTCGCCTTATGATTAATATTGCTTAGTTAATTTCGAGTTAGTAATATAAATACGCCGGGGAACTTTTTGCGCTATCATCGGCAATTGATCTCGTAAATTATATTCTAGTCTATTATGTTGGTTATCAGGATGCGATATATCGAGGCGTTCCTTTGAAATAAAATCATAATAAACAACGTTGCTACGAATTATGTAGCGTAGTTCTTATTTTAGAAGTTTTCCGTTTAAATTGTAAATTGTGAGTAAACTTTTAAGACAAAACTTTAAGTCATGCTTCATACTGAGATACGACTTTGAAAATAAATCTTGTCGCTCTTCACATAAGTCACACACGCCAGCCACTGTTTACTAACTTGCTCTTACAAGCGGACAACTTGTGAACGTTGAGGACGATCACACTACTCTAACTCCTATTTCTGTTAGATTAAGACAGAAACTTCTGTCGACGGCATTTACCGTCTTCCCTACCCTACCGAGCAGATATACATTCTATAGCGGTGTTGTTTAAGTTTGAATTCGCGCCATTTGGGCTGGTGTACATACATTATAATTTGACACAAGCTGTGTCAGTTGGCTACCGACCGTGAGTTGACTAATTCACGAACTGACCTGCTCCAACTCCTCAAATATCTAAATCGACGGTATTTCGAAGAGTTAGTCGAAATGTTGGTTTCTGGATTAACAATTCTGGTCATCGACGAAATCTTAACAACGATAAAGCCGAATAAAACAATATTCCTAGAAATCCGTTTTATTCAGATTTAATTAAAATCTATGTGATCATATTTTGATTTGAATGCTTACAGCGTGGGAACCTTTCAAAATCATGAACAAGCTTCGCAGCTCTTTCAGCGATAAACCATTTTTCAGCTGGCCCTCAGAACGATGCGTCAAAATCAGTGTTCGCGTAAATTTTGCCTGCCACCGCACACTATTTAACACGGGTTGAAGCGATGAGGATCTAGCGAACTGAATTCTAATAGTAATATTATTGAAATACCTACAGATTTCGATACGATTTTCGATTCTTTTGTATTACTTAAAAACTTTTAAATAATTTTATTGAGTGTGCTGATCAAATTTCGGGAATGAAATTTTGTTGAAGATGATTTATCT